TGCTTCTGACGATGGGCTTGGGGAGGTTGGGGATTGATTGAAGGCCAGAAGTGGGGGTTCAGAAAAGATTTCTTTCAGGCTGGGGATCCCAGCAAATATGGGTTGAGGTTGTTTGATATCCCATATGGGTTCAAGTGTGGGATGGTAGATGAGAATTAGGGATGTGTGGTCAGAGGGTGTTTTATTTTTGTACTGAAGCTGGGTTCTCTGGGGAAATTGGCCCATTCTATGATGTGATCTGCTTCTCTGGAGTGTTCTTGTTTGGTGAAGGTAGTCTTGAGTGTGCTAAGGTGTATATGTCAGACTTTCTCCTCAGAGCATATTCTATGTTAACTGAGTGCCTGACTGTAGCTAACTGATTTCTTGGTGCATATGGGGTGGTTACTGGATCTATCCGTGGGTTTCTTGTATGTGGTTGTCTATAGGGTTCCATTTGCTGAAGCTCACTGAAGGGTTCAGGAAGTTGATGCTAGTATGGAAGTGTTCCAGAGACAAGTTAATGGACAGGTGGTTGTGGTTGAAGTTGTGATAGAAATCCCAGGGGGAGTTTAAATCATCTGTCTAGAGGATGAAAATATCATTGATGTATCTCAGGTGTATCATTGGTTTCATGGTGCATTTGTCCAGAAATTCTTCTTCAAGGTAGCCCATGAAAAGGTTGGCATATTACGGAGCTATCCTAGTACCCATGGCTGTTCCAGTGGTTTGGACAAAGTGTTTGTTGTTGAATGTAAAATTGTTATAGGTGAGGATGGAATGGATGAGTTTGGTGATGTGTTCGGAGTGAATATCTGAGGGTTGTCCATTGTCTTGTAAATATATGAGACAGCCAACTATGCTGTTATTGTGAGGCATGTTGGTGTATAGCGAAGTGACATCCATGCTGGCATGGATGGTGTTCTGAGGGAGGTTGTTAATGTTCTGCAATCCCATTTGCTCAAATTGCAACACTGCACTTGTCCAGCTTCTGTGATCTTGATCTCCCACAGCAATTACATTATTAAAAAACAATGCGGTTTGCAACTCAAAGGTCAGGCTTATGGAGACACAAGATGTTCTTAGCAGCCAGCTTATTATTCATTCCCACTCAGCTATTTGTATGAATTTGAATCACCTTCATAAGAAAATATAAAATTCACTTTTTCCACATAGTAGCAATAGTAATAAAAAAAAATTCTACCAAACAGCAATTGGAAGGAGAGAAGTAGAGATCCCTTTACTTAAACTTTTAGAATGTTAAGTTACTTTGATACCATGGTGATCCGCACATTATAAATACTTAGAGAAGACTCAATCAATTTCCTGGACTCAATGTACCAAACCAACATAAATCCTATTTTTCTGTGGTTAATGTCTGTTTATTTTGTGGAAGTAATTAAAACGTTCTCTGTGGATAAACACCCAAAAATGAACTGTAAATATCTTGTGAGCATGAGTTTTCATCTTGAGTCTTTCTTGTGTTTAGGGTTCACAGTTGCTATTTTTTCAATATAATCATTCGTGCTCTGGTCTTTCTCTGTGCGCATAGATTTCAGGTCTGAACTACTTGTTTGTTCTGACCTCAGTGAGCGCATACTTATCTTCCAAATTGTTCTTACTGAATCGGATAGAACAATCCTTACGGGTTTTCTGTCCAAACTTTTATTCTCAACACCAGTCTCAGTGTGGTCTGAGAGTACCTTGTGGTTGGGGTTCTTCGTTTGCAGTAGTATGGGGTTAAGTTAGAACTTATTGGTCTAGATAATACTTAGTCCTGCCATGACTGCAGGGAACTGGACAAGACGACATCTCAAGGCCTCTTCCAGTTATGATTCTATAAGCATGAATGGAGCACTGAAAGTACTTGGGGCCATCGAGGGTCCAGTACAGGTCACAAGGGCCATGAGCATCCCTAATTGTAGGGAGAGACTTCGTATTTTACAAGCAGTTGGTGCTCTGAGCAGAGGATCTAAGGCCCTATTTTTTTACTTTCTGACATAGGTTTTAGTAATTGCCTATGACACAGTATCTAAAATCATGAGTAAAGGAACTTCTTGCATGTAGTTTGAGATCTAGTGGGTCATACAGCTCTGGTCCCAACGCTGGTTCCAGAGTTTATTGGACACCTTTAGGGCCTAATTCTCCTTGGATCTTTGGCCTCTGTTTCCCCTTGAGCCTGAGTCTACAGCTTACAAAGTCCAGGTCTTTTGTCCTTTTCTACCATGTAGAAAGGGATTTTCATGGAAGGGAAAAACAGTTTTGCTAGATTCTTTTTCAGCCAAAAGAATTGGCAAAAAGCCAAAAATGTGCTGGTTTTCCTTCAGTTGTGAATTCTCATTTTCTCACCGTTCTAGTTAATACTTGTGTCACACATCCCTACTGATGCTATTGCAAGGGAGGGGGCATGGATTCCAGGTGCTGAAGGTAATTTCTAACAGTCTGATCTACCAATCCAAAGCCCTATGCAAATTAGGAGGATGTTCTTTTGTTTTCAGTATGTTTCCCTTCAACTGCTGTGAGGAGGAGGCTCAGGGTAGAGTGGACCAGGAGGCATGCAGATTGCCTACAAGCTTTCTAAATCTTCATTTGTGTGTCTGCCTCATGGACAGATGAAAGCCAGGCTACTCAGCATGCAGATGGTACTGCAGTTTGGCCTACAGCTGAAAAATTATAAGGAGGTTTTTACTTGGCTGGCTAGAAACTTCTCCAGCCCTCTTGTGAATAGAAATGTTTTTTTTTTTTCTTTGAAAACAAAGCACAGTAACTTATTTAGCAGCATAAAATGTTGAGAACGTAAAAGTTTTTAATCCAGTTTTGTTTTTTGTACCAGCAAGGAGAATTTCTAAGTCTCTCACATCTGATGTGGGGCAGAGTGGCACCTTTTATTCCTTAAACTGCTCATGTTACAAAGCTTAATATTAAAATGGCAGAAAATCTTCTAAAACAATCATCTTTGTGTATTAAACACAATATTAGTTTATTAAATTGTTTGTCATTAATGAATTTATAGTTAAATTTAAAGTGCCCTATATGGAAATAATTGTAAACTCATGTGTCTATATTTTGTTACCATGGTGGGGGAATAATTTCTTTCTGTCTAAATTTGAACTCAATGAGAAAACATGTACTGTTACATGGACACTATAACCTTATGGCATGGCACTTTAAGAGTCCTTTTGCATTTTGTCTGTTTCTTTAAAGGGCTTCCTTATTGTCTCAGGCTCCCCTGGAAATGCAGTAAGGATTCCTAGCACATCTCAGTTGCCATGGCAACAGCAGTCTTTCCCATAATGAGCCGCATCATCTGAACTGATGTCACAGCATCATGCAGCAGGTCACACAAGGCACCTCCTAGTATTGCATCCCACAGATGTGCCGTAAACATCAAAAGAGGATGGTTTGAACAGGAGATGGTAAGTACTAAATGTAGGCTTGTTTTTAATTGCACCACTGCTTTCCTGATTTTGTACAAGTCTCTTCTAAAATTAGAATGTGTGGGATTTGCCTCGTGAAAATGGGTTTTGAAGAAAGATGTTGCATGCCTAAATATCTTTTTCAGACAGTTAGGCTAAGACAAAGGCCTACAGGAGGCTCAGCCAGCTAGAAATATTGATTATGATCCTTGCTGTATTTGTGTATGATATCCTGAGGACCACTACAGAATATATCTGAATTTCATATCTAAATTATTGTTATAACACTATGATTTTTCTCTGAAATAGAACATATAGCTGTTCGCAATTACAGTGTCACAAAGGTAGAATAATCCTTTCCCTCCTTCTTATATTGAAGGATTAATATTTTCTGTAGCACTCGTCTCTTAACTTATGAACTCTTCTGTGGTGTGCAGTGTGAATATTATTTAATTTCACTGGGTTTTCAATAATATGGTAGTACACAAAATGCTACACAATGCTGAATAAGCAATTGGCACTGTATTGCTTTGAAAAGTGGTTCTGTTCTATACTATGCAGTTGGTATTTTAAAAACAAAGCAATGAGACACCATTTTTTGAATTCTATTATCCCTTGTTATCAAGTATTTATTTTGAAAGCCTGAAAGCTTCCAGCTGTATCACTGAATTCTTTCCTTTCCGTCTCTTTTTGTTAATAAACCATAATATGTATTTAGTGGATCTAAGATATACTCTTTATTAGATGTAAAAACAAGTCTCTCTTCTCTGCTGCAATTGCAGTAAAAGAGAGAGAGCCAAAGTAGCCAAAGATTTAGGCTTTTCAGGTGTTGCTGATCTTTTCATTACATGAATAAAACAGAGTATGAAAAATTGTGATTGCTCCCTCTGTGGGTATGGGGAAAATATATATACATTTTAGGACACCATCAACTGAATTATAACACAATACCTGCAAAATTTAGAAACTCTTTATAATGTCTAATGGCTTCTATTTTATACCATGGTCTTGCTTCCGGCAGCCACGTTGATTTTACTTAACTTCCAAGTTAATCTGACTGGCTTGGATAAAACAATGTTAATTCTTTGTTTTTTGTTTTTTTTGAATGTTTAGATGATTAGAAGCAAAGAAAAGACCAGACCCATGTCAGTTTAATTGATCAATATAATATGACCACTGGGAATTAGGGAGTGGTCTCTGGTTCTGCGTTGCTCAGCTTTAGTTTGTATTTCAAAAGTATAGCAGGAAGGAATAGCAACCACTCATCTTTTAGTGATGTTCATCAGATATAAAGGACCAAAAAGCATTAAATATGAAGCATAAAACCAGTACATGTAATCAGATCTGATTGCTTTTCATAAGGACAGGCGTGATGGTCTCATCTGGCACTAGCTGAAATGGAGCTCCTAGATTTTAATTAGACAGTCTGCACTGCATCATATACACTATTTCCAGTGGGGTCTGAGCATATCTTTTGTGTTAAACTGCAAAACACAAAAAGGTAGATAATTATCATAGTGATATTGCTTTACTTACTGTGATTGTTAAAATGAATTGTGGTCGTTTTATGGTGTAAAAGGAGTAATCTCGAATCACTAGGTGTTCAATATGCACACTCAGAAGGTATGAGTTAGCAAGAGGAAGACGGAGGATGTCTGGTTGGTGGCTGAATTATGGAAATTCTGGTGAATAATGCTTTTTTGCTAACAACTTTTGGTAACAATTCATGCCTTAACGTGCATCATCAGCATGGATGTAATTAAAGGTTGGTAGAGAGAGAAAACATCTTAGGATTGGATGAAATACATGACATTATTAGTACATTATAAGATGTATTCTTCAGACTTTGTATATAATGATTTGCACTGTCACTAGAATTTGTCAGGACTAGACTTTCCGATGAATGATAGAAAATAGTTTAGGGAAACCAAGTCCTGTGAAATTGTAAAGGAATGGATGATGTACAGTGCAAATGATTTTAGGATTTTTCTAATAATTTGAAAATTACATTTTTCAAAGCTTTTTTTTTCTCTATTTCCCCCTCTCCCCCCTCCCCCCCACAGTTTGCTTTGGAAACACCCACTGACATACAATATTGTATGACAATGCTGGCTTCTTGGAACAACACAGCCAGTGCTGATCTCAGATCCAGCTGAATATCTTAATTAGTGAGGTTTTACTGTTTGTTTAATGTATGCCCTAGAGGGTGTGGGAGGGCAGGGGTAGGGGTGTGTGTGTGTGTGTGAGAGAGAGAGAGATGAGGGAGGGGGCACCAGTTGGCGAGAGTGGTACTAAAGAAATAGAAATTTTCCTTCCCAACAATCTTGGCCTCTTTTGCTGTAGAAACTTAATAGAAATAACAACACAATTCTGGTTGTTGTTAAGGTATAATGACATGATCAGAACAATAAAACCTGTTTCCAGCAGGGATCAAAAGCAGCAAATCTACAGGGAGCTTTCAATTTTGTTTCCATTGTATCCTTTTGTTCATAATTCCTGAAACAAATAATGTTTGTAATCCGAGAGATTCTTAATAGAATCTGTTTAAGTGCCTGAATTTGGACTGTTCTGGAAATGAAAAATCCTGCCTATATCTGCACATAGAGTGGTGGTGGGGGGAGACTCTCCTGTATAAATGCTAGAGTTCTGTGTGCACGCTTGTACAGTGAGGTGTGATGAGAAACGGAGATACCACCTAAAGCACTTGCAGATTTACTTACTTCTCAAGCTTTATCTTGGTAAGAATGTTGTTACAGAACATTAATTTTAACAATTGCTATGCAAAATGGAGCTGAGTGCAGGGGGTCAAACAAAATCTGGCTCCTCCCAACCCAGCAGTCATACAGTCTGACAGAACAACTCCAGCATCAATGCACACAAGATTGACACTAGTCAGATGTTTGGTCAGCAAGTTGTAATGCACTTATCATGCCTCACATGTAGAACAGACTTCCCCGCCCCCCACTGCAGAATCCACATGGAAGACACGTGTGCTCCAAAGCTCCCATCCCTGGATTTTTTTTTTATTTTATTTCATTTTTATTTTTGCAGAGGGCTGTCTTCTCCTGATTGGCCCAGGAGCCCATCCCTAGAGTGTAAACTAGAAAAGGAGGTTGGCAGTGAATTGGTCAAATGTTACATTCAACAGCAGAAGCCAAAGCTGAATCAAAATTGGTGGTCATTGCAAAAGTGTATAAGTATCTTGTGAGCACAAGTTCTATTAAAGTCACTGAGATTTGTGCTCCTAAGTCACATAGGCACTTTTGAAAATCCCTCCCAATGTCTCTTTATTTATTCACCCCTAATATAAAATTAATTACTGAGCTATGTAAAAACTGACAGGCTTTGAGGCCTGAATTTTCTAGGTTCTGAGTGCCATTGACTTCATTGGGAGCTGCAGATGGTCAATAGTGTTGGTATTCAGGCCCCTGTATTTAAGAAAATCCTTGCTCCATATGAATTCATACAGGATTCATACTGGTAATCCACTGCTGCCCTTCTACAGTAGACACTGAATTGATATTACATTGTGCTGTATGCCTCGTGTTATACTGAGGTGAGTGTACACTAACGAGACATATTGATATTAGCCATTTATTTAGAATATCATGTTTCATGATAAAATATATGTTTAATAATACATGGATGCAAAGTGGACTGTAAGGGTTCATCCTAAAGCTAATTATCTCTGGGGATTTGAGAAAAATCTTCTAAGGGCAGAATTCTCCTCTCAGCTGAAGAGCAGAATAGGGAGGCTGAGGTCCAGTGAGGGGAGTTTCACCTTTATATGAAGGTCTATGTTCATACACTTTTAAATGGACATACTTAATGACAGAGACATTAGGATACTTTCCCCTTTCCAGGAGAGCCAGTACAGGCAGCCACCTCCCTTATTAAACAGGCACACATGCTCTTAATCAAAAAAGAACAGGAGGACTTGTGGCACCTTAGCGACTAACATTTATTTGAGCATAAGCTTTTGTGGGCTACAGCTCACTTCATCGGATGCATAGAATGGAACATATAGTAAGAAGAGATATACATACAGAGAACATGAGAAGGTGGAAGTAGCCATACCAACTATAAGGGGCTAATTAATTAAAATGAGCTACTATCAGCAGGAGAAAAAAACTTTTGTAGTGATAATCAAGATGGCCCATTTAGGCAGTTGACAAGAAGGTGTGAGGATACTTAACATGGGGAAATAGATTCAATATGTGTAATGACCCAGCCACTCCCAGTCTCTATTCAAACCCAAGTTAATGGTATCTAGTTTGCATATTAATTCAAGCTCAGCAGTTTCTCGTTGGAGTCTGTTTTTGAAGCTTTTCTGTTGCAGAATTGCCACCTTTAAGTCTGCTACTGAGTGACCAGAGAAGTTAATGTATAGGGCAGAGGTGTGGGCTGGTCTTCAGCATTCCTGAAGGATGGCTAAATCTGCTGCATATCTAGAGAGACAGGCACTGAGAGAACACGTGGAATTTCTCTTCTACTAGGGTCAGATCATTGCTTGTGTTAATTCATCAGCCCTTTTTTATAGGATTTTCAATTTTATTATATGTAATGAGTTAAATTCTCATTTAAAATAAAGGAAAGGGTATTTGTTTACCTATTTAACCAAATCTCTGTGTGTGTCTCTTGTAAATTTATTTAACTGGAATTGTATTTTCAATTTTGAAAATTGAATAAATAACATCCCTTCTGGTGTATTGGGCACACAGGAAGATGTCAGGTGCTGATAGAGCCTTGTCTACCTGGATAAAATTATGGCTTGTTGCTAAAAAGCCTTAGGAAAAGCTGTGGATTGTGGGCATGGATTGCCATTAAGACTCTGGGAAAAGGAAAGACTGATCGTGCAGAAACGGTACCTTTTTTTCCTGCCCTGTATAATGATCTAACTACTGGGTTTGAAATTCTTTGACTCCTGGGAAGTTTGAATCCCAGCAAGGCTGACTCAGCTCTTTATTCTTCTAGGTCAAAAAATTAAGTACTCTTCAGTTTACTATGTCTGGGACTCTCAGACAAGACACTTGAAAGAATGAGCTTGCTCTGATCTGCATGGAGACTGAAGTTCTCAAGGCACATGTCAGATAAAAGATTTGCCCTGACATCTTTGGCCAAATTTTCTTCTCCTTCTCCCACAATGTGTGGTCCATCTGCCACCCTACAAGTGGCTGCATTTCAGTGGCCAAGTGAATGAATATAGATGTGATGTTCTCGTAGAGATCTTGAGATTAAAGGTACTTTACATTTGTAAACTACTTTTCACCAGTTCATGGAATAATCACAGCATCCCAAAAGTAATGTGGGTCTTTTAGAAAATTGAGGATTGAGGATGGGTCTTATGAATCTGACTCTGCTAATGTTTTAGGGCCTGTTCCTATAAAAATGCTACATGTCTCCTGGAATTGTGATGAGCACCTTCTGTTCAGGAGGCATTCAACACGCCCTATCCCACCCCACCCCCAGCCAGGACTGGGCTCTGAAGTAGGGGTAAATGCTATAGAATGCAGCATAGTTTGAACTGTAGCACTTTCACTGTTAATTTTTTTTAAACAGCCTCTTTTGTGAAGCAGAATGCAGACACCGAAATGCCTGACTTTTTAAAAGCAAAGGTGCAGCAATTCAAACTATTGCCTCATAGACACCAAGTATATTCAGCCTGTATTTAAAATAGCTACCATTTTAAAATGTCATGTTTTATTTGGACAAAGGCATATTTGGCATTAGTCTGTACTAATAGAAGTGTTAACGTTCTGTTGGGGAAGTGTCCAACCAAGAGCACAAGCCCAGGCTCCTCTAATCCTGCTTCCAGTTTATAACTATAAAAATTGTTTTAAGAGATGCCCTTTGCTGGTCATGCTGTAAGCTGGACGTTGTCGTAGTTTCAGGATGCAGACATGAAGTTTTGTGGGGAGCTGTGAGATGATATTGATTGTTTACAAGCTTATTGTGTGGGTAAAATAAAGCAGGCCTGTAGCTAGCTATAAAGCAAATTGTTTATATTTCTCTTTCTCTTCCTTACCCTTGACCCTTTTTGTATTTCTCCCTTTGCTTTGAGACCTTATAGAATGGCCAGGGATGCAACCCCGTGCTCTGGGTGTCCCTCGCCTCTGACTGCCAGAAGCCAGGAGTAGACGATAGAGGATGGATCACTCAGTGATTGCCTGTTCTGTTCATTCCCTCTGAAGCACCTGGCACTGACCACTGTCGGAAGACAGGAGACTGGGCTAGATGGGTCATTGGTCTGACCTAGGATAGCCATTCTTCTGTTCTTAGGAGGAAATACCTCTCTAGCCGATGTCAGACAACCCTGTAGTCAAGTCTGAATCCTTAGCCTTAGACTGGACCCCCTATAGGGTCTACCTTGCACACTGCATCAGATTCATACTTCTTGTGCTCACCTTCAAGGCCCTGTACTGCTATTTCCTAGCCTACGTGTCAGGCTAGTCACGTAGGCTTCCTCTGTGTCCCTTCTGTTCTGCCAGGCTCAGTACCCTCATTCTGCTGCTCCTGTGTTTGACTATTTGAAATGAAATCCCTGTCCTACTTCACTGAGCCACTATCCTCTCCTCATTTAAATCTCTTATAAAAACACACTTCTGTGAAGTCCACAAGAAGTGAGTTTACACAATAGTTCTGGGTGGGAATACTGGCGATGCTGGGGTTACTGCTATTTGTATTCCATTAGTATATAGACACAACAACTGAGGCTGAAATCTGGTGTGCTAGGTGCTGTATGTACACATAATAAGAGATGATCCCTGCTCTGAACAGATTATAGTCTAAACTGACAAAATAAGAATTATTATGGTCCCAATTTCAGATATGGGGAACTGATACATGGTACAATAAGTAACTTGCCCAAGGTCCAACAGGAAGTCTGTGGCAGAGCTGGGAAAGGCACTTCTGAATCTTAGTACAGTACTTAAACCATAAGACCAACTTTCTTCTCTGCTTTCCTTCCTCTGCTCCCCAATCTGTATTTCCCAGTGTTTCCTTTCTTTGATAACCTTCTGGAATGTAAACTCTTTGGGGCAGGTGTTGTGTTTAGTGTTGTGTTTTTATACAGGACCAAGCTCATTGTTTAAGTACTAAACAAAGGTTAATATATCCCCCTTGTTGTCTGGAAGTGGCCATTTCATATATTTAGTTTTGAAACACTAAATAAAGTGTTAAAGTAGATAAATAGTTTTGTAATAGCAAGAAAACACACTATCAACTTTGATTTACTGTTTCATAATCAGTTATAAAGCACTTACCTTTTGATATCTGACAGTGATAATAGTGATAGAATATTCACTGCCAGGAGAATTGAAAGGGTTGTAGGAGAGATGGCTAAAAAAAGTAGATTAAAAAACATTGTATATTGAAATGTTATAGTCATTAGAGAGGAAAAAATGATTAATATGTATTGCAAAGGGCAACCTTGGATGTTTAGAACTCATATTGAGAAAAGAAGTGTTGAGTTAGAAGACACGTTGCATCCATGTCTCTGCAGAAGACATCCTGAGATTTTGGACAGCCCCTGGAGATGGGCTGATTGAACCTCAATAACTAGAATTTCATCGAAGCAATGGATTATTAGATCAACGTTCCCATTTTCTTCTACTTCTGGAGTCAATACTGGTCAAGAGTAGATGTACCAGTTACTTTCATAATTAAAATAACCTGCTCTTCTTTTCTAAAATTTTTCAATCTGAGATTGCAAGACATACGTTAGAGACACTTCAATAGAAACATGGGCTAACAATGGTGGTAGTAATAAAATAGTGCTTGGATAAAATGTTTGACAAGAAGCAAAACAACTGAGATTCAGATTGGATTGACAAATTTATAATTTTATAATGTATTTACTGAGTAAGGTATTCATCGGGGAGGGTATCTTAAAAATTGGCTAGCTACGGTAGTTATCCTTGCAGCTGCTCCTACCTACAATCTGAGCTACAATAAAATCTACTCTGTCTGCAAATGTCACCCATGAGAAGGTAAGGTCCTAATCACTTTTGCACATATTTTTTATCAACCAGCAAGTGTTTGTTACATTCTTCTTACACTAAGTCATGCTGACTTTCTTTTAAAAATATAACCAGATTCTGCTAAAACAATAAATCACATTCATATTGCAACAGGAATAGAAATGCAGCTTCTGAGAAACTAGGCTGTTACATAGCAGTTTTCAGCATGTCTGGTATTCTGTTACCCAAGCAGTGACACAGCAGATATGAGAGAGATGCCATTGTAAAAGTCAGATTGGTTAAAATAATCATGGTACATTTTTGTACGTTCTTAATCTATTTACAGACTAGTTCTTTTCCAAAAATTCACTTTGTGCTTTGTTAGTGATTTTATGTCAAAGTCCTATCTGGCTTTTAGTTTATTTTTGCTAAATGTACAAGTTGTCAATTTTGAGAATGAACTGGATCATTTCCAGTTTCTGCAGAGGCTCTGCCAATGAGGGTCAGACAGTGTTTCTGCAACTTCTATGAATGTCCATTCGTATTTGAAGATAAAAGGAAACAAGTTTGGTTCTCCAAATGCAAATACATGTGTTAACAGTGAAATAGCTTCCCTGAGTGAACCTTTAAGTACCTTTTTCAGAGTAACAGCCTAGTCTGTATTTGCAAAAAGAAAAGGAGTACTTGTGGCACCTTAGAGACTAACCAATTTATTTGAGCATCAGCTTTCGTGAGCTACAGCTCACTTCATCGGATGCATACTGTGGAAAATAGAGAAGATGTTTTTATACACACAGACCATGAAAAAATGGGTGTTTATCACTACAAAAGGTTTTCTCTCCCCCCACCCCACTCTCCTGCTGGTAATAGCTTATCTAAAGTGATCACTCATCTTACAATATGTGTATGATGATCAAGGTGGGCTATTTCCAGCACAAATCCAGGTTTTCTCCCCCCCCCCCATCCCCCAAACCCACTCTCCTGTTGGTAATAGCTTATCTAAAGTGATCACTCATCTTACAATATGTGTATGATAATCAAGGTGGGCCATTTCCAGCACAAATCCAGGTTTTCACCCCCCCCCCCAAACCCACTCTTCTGTTGGTAATAGCTTACCTTAAGGTGAGTGATCACTTTAGATAAGCTATTACCAACAGGAGAGTGGGTTTAGGGGGAGAGAAAACCTTTTGTAGTGATAAACACCCATTTTTTTTCATGGTCTGTGTGTATAAAAACATCTTCTGTATTTTCCACAGTATGCATCCGATGAAGTGTGGATTCACCAAGGGAAGGTCATGCCTGACTAATCTAATCGCCTTTTATGATGAGATTACTGGTTCTGTGGATGAAGGGAAAGCAGTGGATGTATTGTTTCTTGACTTTAGCAAAGCTTTTGACACGGTCTCCCACAGTATTCTTGTCAGCAAGTTAAGGAAGTATGGGCTGATTGAATGCACTATAAGGTGGGTAGAAAGCTGGCTAGATTGTCGGGCTCAACGGGTAGTGATCAATGGCTCCATGTCTAGTTGGCAGCCGGTATGAAGTGGAGTGCCCCAAGGGTCGGTCCTGGGGCCGGTTTTGTTCAATATCTTCATAAATGATCTGGAGGATGGTGTGGATTGCACTCTCAGCAAATTTGCGGATGATACTAAACTGGGAGGAGTGGTAGATACGCTGGAGGGGAGGGATAGGATACAGAAGGACCTAGACAAATTGGAGGATTGGGCCAAAAGAAATCTGATGAGGTTCAATAAGGATAAGTGCAGGGTCCTGCACTTAGGACGGAAGAACCCAATGCACAGCTACAGACTAGGGACCGAATGGCTAGGCAGCAGTTCTGCGGAAAAGGACCTAGGGGTGACAGTGGACGAGAAGCTGGATATGAGTCAGCAGTGTGCCCTTGTTGCCAAGAAGGCCAATGGCATTTTGGGATGTATAAGTAGGGGCATAGCGAGCAGATCGAGGGACGTGATCGTTCCCCTCTATTCGACATTGGTGAGGCCTCATCTGGAGTACTGTGTCCAGTTTTGGGCCCCACACTTCAAGAAGGATGTGGATAAATTGGAGAGAGTCCAGCGAAGGGGAACAAAAATGATTAGGGGTCTGGAACACATGAGTTATGAGGAGAGGCTGAGGGAGCTGGGATTGTTTAGCCTGCAGAAGAGAAGAATGAGGGGGGATTTGATAGCTGCTTTCAACTACCTGAAAGGGGGTTCCAAAGAGGATGGCTCTAGACTGTTCTCAATGGTAGCAGATGACAGAATGAGGAGTAATGGTCTCAAGTTGCAGTGGGGGAGGTTTAGATTGGATATTAGGAAAAACTTTTTCACTAAGAGGGTGGTGAAACACTGGAATGCGTTACCTAGGGAGGTGGTAGAATCTCCTTCCTTAGAGGTTTTTAAGGTCAGGCTTGACAAAGCCCTGGCTGGGATGATTTAACTGGGAATTGGTCCTGCTTCGAGCAGGGGGTTGGACTAGATGACCTTCTGGGGTCCCTTCCAACCCTGATATTCTATGATTCTATGATTCTAAGTGAGCTGTAGCTCACGAAAGCTTATGCTCAAATAAATTGGTTAGTCTCTAAGGTGCCACAAGTACTCCTTTTCTTCTTTAAGTACCTTGTAAACCTTGGTTTCTGATTACTAAGTCTAGGAAGCAGGTGATATTCAGTGTAACTTCAGAACTGTCCTAAATGATGTTCTTCAATTTTATCCCATTGCTCCTTCCATATTAACTTCAATTTCATCCCTAGGTCCCACCTAGGGGATTTATTTCCCTTCTTTGTAACTTGGAAACCCTTTCTAGGAATGGCGTGAAGTGTAGGCCTGTCGTCTGCAGGTCTCTTTTCTTCTTCTTTCTCCTTGAGGAAGATGAGAATTCTGTTTGCCAGAGTGCTAGGGGACTGAGCCTAGAGCATTTGTCATGAAAGCTGGGGAATAGGTGGGTCACAGAACAAGCAGAAACTAGATGAAACTAGATCAACCTGGAGCTCTACACCTCCTACGTGTACCTCAGCATGTCTTTCTATTTTGACCGGGATGATGTGGCTCTAAAGAACTTTGCCAGGTATTTCCTGCACCAGTCCCACAAGGAGTGTGAGCATGCTGAAAAACTCATGAAGCTGCAGAACCAGAGGGGCGGTTGCATCTTTTTGCAGGACATCAAGAAACCAGATTGTGATGATTGGGAGAATGGGTTGACAGCAATGGAGTGTGCCTTGCACCTGGAAAAGAATGTGAACCAGTCACTCCTTGATCTGCACAAGCTGGCAACTGACAAGAATGACCCTCATTTGTGCGACTTCATTGAAACCCACTACTTGGGGCCCATATTTAATCTATGGGCCCATCCTCCCCTACTGGAGATTTGGTAGAAGACACACTGCTAGTACCACAATGTTGAAATAGGAGAAGTAAGGCTTATGGAGCTGTGGGGTGGTCAGCTTCAGATCAGGTGCTCCTTACCTCTCTCTCTCTTCCCCCCCCCCCCCATCTCCACCCAGGTTGGGAGGTAAAGCTCTGCAGATAAACTTTCAAATTCTGGGGCTGCCCTGACCAGGGACAGAGACTTTTGGGCCACTGGACTTTTGGGACTTTGGGTGTTTTGGGGTTGCTGGACTCAAGAACCAAAGGGAAAGGACATGCCCCAATTTGCTTGGGGTGGGCTTTTTGCTCATGGGTTGTGTTATGAATCCTGTTGGTGGTGTTTCCCCAACATAATGCCACATTGTTTCTCTCTGTTATTAAAAGGCTTTTGCTACACTCAGACTATGTGCTTGCGAGAGGGAAGTATTGCCTCTTGGAGGCGCCCAGTGGGGGTGGTATATATTTGTCCTAGGTCACTGGGTGGGGCCTCGAGCCGGTTTGCATTGTGTTATTGGAATGGATCCCCTAGATATTGAACCCGGCCCTTGTTGCTGCCAACTCTGATGGGCAGAAGGGTTACACACATATAAGTTTGTTCCACAAAGAAGGATGCAGGAATGGAGCTTACAGCAGTGCAGATATGAAAAAGAAGAGCACGGGAGCACTCAGGACCCAAACAACATGTGGGGAAGGAGAGAGAGAGTGCAGGAGTAGAGGGAATATGGTAATAGCAAGACGAATTAAAAAGGGAGATTGCAGAAGAAGGTGAGAAGTGTGGGAGGGGCAGGGGAAGAGGAAGAGTCTGGCTGTGGGATGTAACAGGCTGAGAGGGAATGAGGTAACAACTGACACAAACTGGCTACAAGTTAACCATTGCTTTAAGGCTATGAGTGCTCCATCTTATGCCCACTCTTGTCAGTGTACCATGAATGTGACAAATTCCTCTCTGATCAAATAATCGCTATGGTACATTGTTTCTGATAATGCCAAGACTAAACCCAAGATGAAAGCTGCACGCTAACATGTGCGTAAGTCATCAAACAAACATCCCTTTATTGCAGGTACTGTTAGATATAGCACTTTCTCTTTTTTTTTTTTTTTTTGTCCCTTTTACATAGGTTCTAAAATGTAAGATGCAGCAACATGTTCTTTTGGAATAATGCATAGAAAATGAATGAGCACCTACACAATAATGCTTTTGCAGCAAGCATCTTTTTTCTTTTCTTTTCTTTTCTTTTCTTTTCTTTTTAAAAATCCTTGGATTGCTGAGTATTTTGACTGCTGTGAACATTTCCCCACTAATAACTGGACTGAGACCCTTCATTGTACATAAGTTAGCTTATGAACCTTCATAAGGTAGTGGTTTTAGATCACTGCCAAGCTGGACCAGATGGGAATGAGTGGTTTAGCAGTTAAAATCTGCATATTTCATTAGTATGCCGTTCAGCCATATAGTACTCTCTTGGCAATAAGCTTTCAATTAAAGATTAAGTCCTTAATACATGGATGTCTGTCAAGAACAACAATAGCAGCTCCATCACAGCTGTTAGTGTATCATCTCACCATATTCTTTGGAACTGAGATCCTTAGATGCCAGAGTCATTGTCAAAACAGATTGGTGGGCATGTTAAATGGAGGATTATTGCCCCCAATGCAACTTTCACAGTCCATAGTGTTAAAAAGATGACTGAGGAAGCACACTAAATCCATCAACTATAAATACACTTTTTGGAGTGTGAGGTAGTCACTTTTCTAAATAAAACAGATTGACTTTTTTCTCCCCAAAATGGCAGCTACAGTCCATATGACAGACTAAGTTCCCCTCTAAAAAGATATTTTTCAGTTACAGAAGTGCAAACAAATTTATTTTCTTCATTCCCCAAAATATTTGTGTAATTTTAGAGTAGATTTGACTGAAGTCATGTGACTTGTTCAGCTACACAAGCAATTCATCTAGGTTGGAATCCTGATTCCTTTTGGCATTCAGTCCTTTGTTCTAATCATTTACTTGCATGTCTTCCATGTATTTGGGAAGATGTTTTGCGCCTCAGAGGTGGTACATAAACCCAATAGTGATGGTAAATCTTACACTAAGGGTCAGAGTCCTGCTTAATCCAGATGCTAGGGAATCCTTCAGTTCAGGTGTCTTTCCAACTTTGTAATCTTGGGTACAAGATATTTTTTTTTTTATGGCCCCATGGAGTAAAGAGTTTGAGGAACAATTTGAAAACACATTGATACAACTTGTTTCTGACATTCTACCTCTTATTTTTAGGGGGAAAAACAGGTTTTGGAATATTGTCATCAATGTCTTTCTGAATAAAAATCCTTTAATATTTTGTTTCAAATTTCTATCTGGCACTGTAAACTACTCTGCGTATTTTAATCTGCTTATCTATGGCAGATTTTTATCAGTAGGTATGAAGAGGGGGCCCAAGAAAGAGAATGGGATTGCTCTCTAAGGTTTCCTTGATCAGGCTCAGTGGAAAGAGAGCTGTTACTGGAAGTCCTGGGTTTGTGACATTTTTGAATACAGTATTTTTAAAACACAAAAATTCACCATTCACACTTGCTTTGTAATATTGAAATGCTGGAAAACAAAAACACATCATTCCCTGTTTTGAAATATTATATCATGCTACTTAGGCTCAAAACAATGAATTATTCATACAATTTGTTGGGTTCCCTTCTGAGAATAACAGTAACATACTTCCAGCATGGGGCTCCATTTAACTAATGATCATCTAGACACTACTGTATGCTATAAAGAATCTGTTTCCACATGCCATGAGGTCATTAGAACAATAATGCATATTATCGAATGGCAAGTTGCTTTAAAATCCTGAGTATAGGTCGAAGGGTTTGGTAAAACAAGATCTTTAAATCAGCTGTTCAAGGCTTCAAATAAAACTGTTGCATGAAGAAAAATAGCTTTGTTTTACTTGTGAAACTAAGCAGGATAAATAATACAGTAGATTTGTTCTATCTGAAGTATGCATTATATAGGTACACTTTTATTCTACAAACTTTGTACGAGAGTTAACCGATAAGTACCAGTTTTCTTTGGGCAATAAATAAATGCTCTTCAATAGCTATGATGCCTACTTCAAGGTTTGACAATAAATAAAAGAACCTATTTACTGATAAGGCAATAAATGAGTCATTCAGTTGTCTTCAGGTAACTGCACAGAAAACAAACGTAGAACTATTTCCAAAAATGTTTACTTGAACTAGGATTTGAAGCTTCCTCCCTCATCCTGATATAAGAATAGCTGCTTTTAAAAAGCCAAACAAACAAAAACCACTACCCCAGACTTATTTTGGTTCATGTTATTTTAACCTCCCTGTTACGAATTTATTGTGAGTTGTTCCCTAACAGTTATCTCTGTATGCGGTCTCTAATTTCATTTTTTCTTTCTTGTAAATAAGATCTGTAAATGACTCATGATTTGTCAGCTGTGTTTTTATGAGATTAATGGGAATGTATAATACTTTTGTTAAATTTCCTACCTTGATGAGCTCAATCTTGAGTGTTTTTTAAAAATATTTCTTTTAAGAGGAAATGTATGAAATCCTAAACAGTAATAATTGTGATGTAAAAGCTTCACTTTCATTGTTGATGCAGGCAGTAGGAAAATGGACTACCATTTAATTCTGAGTTTATTTAACCATATCTTTAACTAAATCTTAACTAGTTAAGTTATTCAGATTGATTAGATGTATAATTGTATTAATATATTTATCACTTTCTGTATTTATTGGAATACACTAACAAATCTGCACAGCATCCTTCTTTAAAAGTCCCAGATTGCTTCACAAATTTACAGCCTTCTAGAAACTGATGCAAATAACATTTTCCATCTTGATATCAAAACTAAATCTATTTAATCTTTCAGAATTTTGGCAGGAATCTGATTCCCGACCTAGGAGATATTTACTCAACAGACTTGCTCCTAAGTATTCATGATTTATAATTGAGTTGTATTTATAGAAACGAGGCACTGACTTAAAGAAGAAATGAAGAAATTTCAACATTGATCAAGTGAGTCATGGATGAATGTTGAGATATTTACACTTTACTACTTTCAGACTCACTGCACAAATTCTTGCTATTTTTTTTCTCTCTCTCAATATCTTCTAGTAACTAGATTAGTTTCAGAATTGTAATTTGTGCCAGGTACTTTTATCTTATTCCTTCTGCATATAAAATGTGATCATTATAAAATAATGTAATGAAGTTTAAGAAAACAGTGTATCAAGTAAATGCAAAAAGAACCCTCCTGTTCCTCAATTCCTCTTCCTTTATTTATATATATAAAAACAACCAAAAAAAAAAAAAACAAAAAACAAAAAACCAGATGTGATTTAGCCTCTCCAGGCGCTATAGGGAAAATCTAATTTGTCCTGATATAATAATAGGAAGTGTCAGTAAAAATGGGTGATGCTTTGAAATATACATAGCCACTAACTAATGCAAAAAGGTATTTCATATGTAAAGTATGACCCTCTTTAAAAGGAAGAGATTCTGAACAAATGAAGTGCTTTATATTAAATATTTACTCACCCAAACCTTTCCCCAAACTCATTCCTCATTTACAGCTGTTTCTACACTTTGTGGTTTTATTTGGGAAAGGAAAGGTACTTTCTAAAGTACTATAAGAGGCTGTTTTTGCACCATTTCCTCTCTGATCCAAAAAAGTAAAATTAAATCCTGCAAATCTCAAAGGCGAGACTTCAAGATTTTTCATGTTTTGGGGTCTGCTTCTACAAGCACATACTAACTATGTAGTACTTTTACCATGAGTAGTTTCAGAGGAACAGCCGTGTTAGTCTGTATTCGCAAAAAGAAAAGGAGTACTTGTGGCACCTTAGAGACTAACCAATTTATTTGAGCATGAGCTTTCGTGAGCCACAGCTCACTTCATCAGATGTGTACCGTGGAAACTGCAGCAGACTTTATATACACACAGAGAATATGAAACAATACCTCCTCCCACCCCACTGTCCTGCTGGTAATAGCTTA